GTTTCTGGCTCGGGTTCGTCTACGTCATCTGAGCATTCGGCACTTGTTACACAGATTCCCACTCGAAATCGAGATGATCCACTTAGTGGTGGTCGTGGTAGTTTCTCTCGTGGTCGCCGTGGTAGTGGCCCTTGGGGTGGACGTAGTGGCCGTGTTCGGGTCTCCATTCGTCAGTGCTCCTTTTGTGGGTTGGAGAATCATAATCGAGACTCATGTTGGGATGTGGGTGGCCGTCCAGCCAAATTTGACAATGCAGTAACATCTGATCCAGATATTCCTACCATTCCAGTATCTCAAGGTGATCTGGATGCATATTAGAGTGTTTCTTTAAGAAAAACTATGTACAACAATATAAATATGTTTTTGGAATTTTTAATGGAACAAGAGTTTATGCAAGCTTGCGAATTTATAATAAATGATTTCAGTATATTGGTAACTTTACTTCGAATTTTAATTATAATTTTCTTATTCAGTATATGGAAATGCTTGAGACTTTTACAAGTCGCCATATGCATGTGTTTTATTTCTAAAGAACACGAAAGTGGAGTCATAACACAAAAAGAAAAGTGAGACAAGAAAAAATGAACATAAATAAAACAAGTCCCTCCACAGAAAGTAGACTGATGCAAGAAAGACAGATGAGGAATCTTGAAGCTAACGAGCAATTGTTTAAAACAACAAAAGGTTCGTCTAACGATCTAGAAGAATTAATTATTCAACTACCAACAAAGATTGTACCCAATAAACTTAAGCCGGCCACATGAATTGTTTTATGCCACTCCATTCAATTCATTTATAAATCTATTGGAAGATCCAAATTAATTACATAATTAGCAACCACAAAATCCTTGACACTTTTGGTCTACCCCTCCTTCTAGCTTGTTAATTGAGATTGTATCATTGTTATGAATAAGAGCATCTTTATGTCTATGCAAAACGTGTCTCACTTAACTCATTCTTCCCTTAAACCATCCTCACCAATTGTTGAGCAATATTCTCAATTTACTTTTTTTTTTTCACCCACCCATCCATTTTAAGATTCTCCTCCACTCCGAGCATTTTGTCCTTTGACAGTTCAACAATTAGTACCCTAAAGCATAACAGAAAATTCATGTAAACCTTCTCCTATTATCCTAATAAATGTCATCCAATCCTCTTCAATTCCTCCTACATTGTTAATAATCAAACCTAAATATCTAAAATCATCACTTTTAGGAACACGCGATTTCTTTGAGGTAACTCAATTATTCCAACCACTACCAAAGTGATATTGCATTTATTTTTTTGAGGTTCTGATCAACTACTTAAAAACGTTAAACTTCAAAGTACTCTTCCAAAGTTCTAAGTTACAAATTACCCTTCTTTAGTCTCATCAACTAAAAATCAAAACTATGTCATCAACAAAGAACATAAAAGTGTCTACATTATTCACTCTTTAGGTTTTTTTTTTATCCTTTACTTTATGAGTTTCTCAGAATTTTAAATAGCACCTAAAATAAAGCACTCCATACAATCCTCAATACAATTCACATCCCAATAGACTCCCGGTTAGAATACTTAAAATCTCATACAAACTCTGTAAGCGACCAATGAAAATTATTAAATATTCAATTTTTAGCCATAAACTTTCCCAAGAAAGAGAAACTCACCAGGGTATTATCCAGAGTCCCCACAAGAATGAATTTCCCATTGGGCGAAAACTTGACGAAACTAACAGGAGGATGTTCCTCATCGACCAAAGTCTTCATACAATGGCCAGTAGAAGCATCCCAAATCCTACACAATCCATCATAGCTACTCGAAACAATCATTGTCCCATCGTGATTAAAATTAACCGCGGTCACAGGGTCTGAGTGAGCGGGGAGGACCTTAATGCACTTTCCAGACTTCACATCCCAAATGCGTACAGTCTCATCAAAAGAGCCGGAGGCAAGCATGTTGGAGTGAGGATTAAAATTCAAGCAGAACACGTAATTAGCGTGTCCATTGAGAGTCTTAATAGAGGACCCAGTGGCGACGTCCCAGAGGCGGATGGTGCGGTCGTCGGAGGCGGTGGTGAGCAAGCGGGAATCGGAGGAGAAAGCCACGTCCGAGATGCCTTGATCGTGGCCCTTGAATTCGTGGTGAGTAATAGTAGGGGAGGCGACGGAGTACGTACGAGCGGTCTTGTCAGCGGAGGAGGACGCGAGGAGGCGGCCGTCGTCGGAGAATTTGACGGTGGAAAGGGCACGTTTGTGACCCCTGAGCGTGTGTTTGAGCTTGTAGGGTTTAAAAGATTCTGTTGGCTCCGCCATTGCGTGGGTGTATGCACTGTACGTGGGTTTGGAAGATGATAATGGGGTTTTTGAGGAATTTTGCAGCTGCACTAAGTGGACAATGAGGTGATGTTTTGCTTTGATAATGTGGATAACATTTTGGCGGAAAACGAAGTATTAAACGGTTAATTAACTTTAACATGGTATACTTGGCTTGTGAACTGAAAAGATAATTCTATCAAATAGCTTATAATAATTAGATTAAAACTTGATTTGCACGTGTATAAGCGCATTAATAAGCATCTTTAAAATCCAATTTAAATGAAAAGGGAGATTATGAAACTGAAATTCACATTACTCGAATAGAAGCTTTACATGAAGGTACATATATACACAATCCTGGAGATGGCGCCAAGCAAACTAACTAACTAGTGAAACTAATTAACCATACAACAGAAAGCACTGATACAATACATAACGTAATGGTACAATAGATTCCAATACGCCCTCTCAAGATGTGCCGTAAATGTCTTTTACACACATCTTGGACATCAAAGATTTCAATGCGGTGGCTGGAAATGCTTTTGTGAAAGCATTGCAAGCTAGTGCTTTGATCGAACAGGAAGGAGTTTCACTATTCCAGCAGTGATTTTGTCACGTATGAAATGGAAGCCTATTTCGATATGTTTTGTCCGTTCGTGAAAAAAGGGATTGGTGGCTATCTGAATGGCAGCATGATTGTCGCAATAGATGGTAGCTGGTGATGTGTTAGGAGCTCCAAAATCCTTCAGCAGCTGATGAATCCAAAGAATCTCACTGACAGTGGCTGCAATAGCTCTGTACTCTGCTTCAGCAGAAGAATGAGAAATGGTTTGTTGCCTCTTTGATTTCCATGACACCATTGAATCACCAACAAAGATGCAGAAACCTGTAGTTGATTTTCTTGTATCAACACATGACCCCCAGTCAGCATCAGAGAAAGCTCGTACAACAAAAGGTGTTTTAGACAACCTTTGTGAATGGAACAAAATACCCTGCCCATGGTTTCCTTTCAAATATCTCAAGAGGTGATGAATTGCCTTCAAGTGTGGCAATCTTGGTTGGGCAGCATATTGACTCAATTTGTGTATCGCAAAGGTAATGTCTGGCCTTGACAATGTCAAATATATAAGCTTCCTAATCAGCCTCCTATAAATGGTAGGATCTGGTAATAATTCTCCTTCATGAATTCTGAGAGCTGACTTTGTCTCCATAGGACTACTTACTGATCTACAATCCAAATAATTTGCATCTTCTAGTAACTGCAAAGTATATTGCCTCTGAGATATAACTATCCCCGGAAGCCGAACTCGCAATTTCAATCCCTAAGAAGTATTTTAAATGTCCCAAATCTTTGAGTTTGAAGTGGGACTGTAAGAAAGCTTTCAATGAAGAAATCAACTACAAATTTGGACCAGTTTTGACAATATCGTCCACATACACTATCAAAGCCAGGAAGTTGTCACCAGATCCTTTTGTGAAGAGAGAATAGTCAACTTTAGATTGATTGAATCCAAACTGAATCAGAGAATTGGTGAACTTTTCATTCCACTCCCGTGAGACTTGTTTTAAGTCCATAGATGGACTTATGTAACTTGCACACCATTTTATCTACATGCTTGAAGGACTTAAGATTCTCATAACCAAGAGGAAGATCCATGTAGACTTCCTCAAATAAGTCTCCATTAAGGAACGCATTGTTCACATCTAATTGGAATAGGTGCCAATTTTGATGAGCAACCAGAGTAAGCAATACTTTGATGGTTACATTCTTGGCCACTGGGGAAAATGTATCATAATAATCAAAACCCTCCATTTGTGTGTAGCCTTTTGTAACAAGGAGTGCCTTACGCCTTTCAAGGGATCCATCTGAGGTATATTTATTTTTATAAATCCATCCTTGGTCACAACTTATTTTTCGGTCACAAATCAAAAAATTTTTAAGCCACTGATTAATTTTTCGATCACAACTTAATCAATTGTGAGTCACAGTTCGAAATTTAAGGTCACAAATTATTCAATTTTAAGAGTCACAGGTCACTGGTCACATGTAAACTAATGGGTCACATACCACCATCACCTCCAATATCTCCATTGCCACTTGCGACCACTATCACACGGTGGCCGATCATGTCACCACCACACCACCACCACTAATACCGATATCGATATCGATACCGCCACCAACAACCACGTCCACGTCCACGTCCACGTCCACCGCCACCAGAAACCACCACCAAACATACCAACAACGAACAAACCACATCTTCAACTACAAAACCATCATTACTGTTATACAAACATTACAAACTGACAGAACAAATCAAAATCAACACCAATGGCGCCTCCACCACCACCCACCACAAAACGATTCAATTTTGTAACCATTCCATGAATCAAAAACAATAATCCAACTTCAGTAGACTATAGTCTAAACTTTTGAATACTTCTACCTGATTTACAAAAATCAAGAAATGTAAAAACCAGTGTCGCCCAAAAACACGCTACCCTAAAAATTAGAAATGCCTAAATAGAGGCGGACCTTGGGGTTCTTCGACGACGGCATCGCTTCAGATGTTGTGACGGCGACGAGAAAGAGAAAGTGAAAGAGGAGAGCTGCAACGACAAGGCGGCGGCGAGGCGGCTACTCTTTGACGACGGCGCCACTTCGATTTAGGTTTGAGAGTAAAGAGACGGTGGTGAGATAGAATGGAGAGGAGATGACGTTGCACCGCAAATCGCTGTCACAACATTGGCGGTCACGTCGAGTGGGTTGCTGCAGTGGCGAGGTGACAAGGCGATTTCAGTTTGGGTTTGAGAAAGACGGTGGTGAGAAGAGCAAGAGACCACTGGAAGATATGAGAAGATCGCCGGAAAATATGGCGCAATCGCCGATGAGGAGAGGAGAGGAGTGAAAGAAGGAGAGAGAGAGAGTTTGAAAATTAATTTAGGGGTGGGGGTGGGGGTGGGGTGTATATATATTAATTTTTATAATATTATTATTAATATTTAATTAAATATAAAAAAAACCTGTATCTATATATAAAATATCTTATTTTTGAAAATTAAAACTTGACATCTGATTTTT